CTACCTCGAGAGCTCCCTCAAATACTCCGGGCCTGACCCAGATTGTTTCATATCTGGTTACTTGAACAAGCCTTGACTTTCGAGGAATGTATTATCTGGGCTCGTCTGCAGTTTCGAGGAAAAGTTTAACAATGCTATCCGCCAGCTTCTCCACAGTCCTCCAAAGGATCATGTTTCAACACCAGCGCGGGCCAGCCGTTCTGGAGTGGACCGACGGGCACGGGCCAGACCCACTCAGGCTTGTGTTCGACTCTTCAGATGTATGTCACCCAGTGTGTTGCTAGCCTAGACCTTTAGTACTGATTGTTTTCCTTAGCCCACGCATCTTTCTTTTATCATTGCTGCAGCAAATCTTTGAGTCATGCCTCTAATTACGGCCTCCCGAGGAGAGACCGATCCTGCAGTCTTCAAGAGGGTTGCAGATTCTGTGATCATTCCCAAGTTCTCTCCAAGGAGCGGAGTGAAGATCCAGATTACCGAAAACTGATCCCGTCAATCAGTCGTCTTCTGGTACGTTCACTCATTTTAAGACTGTTCACTCCACCTGCAGGGCGTAGTAATTCCTTTCAAATCCTGACAACGTCTCCCTCGGACTTGGTCAAGATGCTGCCTCCTCCATCATCACTCGCTGGCTACCGTCTCACTCCTGTCGAGTTTGAGAAGGGCAATTATGATACTAACCATCGCATCGATCTCATCGCCGCTGCGTCAAACCTTCGTGCGATGAACTACAACATCACCGTCGCTGGTCGTCATACCACAAAGCAGATACTACAGGCAAAATCATTCCCGCCATCGCTACTACTACCGCGCTTGTCGTCGGTTTGGTGTGTCTTGAACTTTACAAGGCAAGATGTTTGCTATCCTTACCGGAAGGGTGCGCCGCTGACACGTGCGCTTTATAAATCATAGATGGAAAGAATAAGATAGATGACTCCATGAACGGTTTAATTATCAACCTTGCTTTGCCTTTCTTCGGGTTTTCAGAGCCCATCGCTGTCGCAAAGAACAAATTCCAAAATACTGAGTGGACCCTTTGGGACCGGTTGGAGTTCAAGCTTAATGACCCAACACTCAAGGAGTTCATTGCTTGGTTTAAGACTAACCACAACTTAGATGTCAGCATGGTTAGTTAGGGCGTGAGCATGCTCTGGAGTTCGTTCACCGATAAGAAGGTTTGTAATGGGCCCTGTGATCAATCCATGGCAACTGCTCATGCCAGTGTTAATCATTTAGAGCGCTGAGAGGATGCCTATGAAATTCACTAGGCTGGTAGAGCACGTCAGCAAGAAGCCTATTCCCCTGCACTGCGCCAAGCACCTTTTGGTTGAAGTCATGCTCATGGATGAGATGGAGGATGTTGAGGTATGTCATAAGAGCCATATATCTGAATGTTCTATCGCTGATGACATTGATAGGTACCTTTTATTCTGATAAAGATTTGAAACCAAGTGAAGAAGTCCCATGTACTACGTAGACAATGGCAAGTACTGTATAATTGCATCTGAATGAATGCCATGCTCAAGCTCTGGACGTCAAACATATTTGCACACTCATGGGAAACATATGGGAGAGCAGCATTCATTAAACCAAGTCGTACGTGTAGTAAGGACCCAGTACTACGTAGTACGGTGCAGTGTATGCTTTACGCTTGACTATCGAATGCCAGGAAAAAGAGGCGCATAATTTCTTACCTACGGAAACGAGCTGAAGGTGAAAAGGAAAAGCTAAAAGCTTAATTAACCACCAAAGGGGTAACGGATGATAAGACAGGAGGAAAGGGAGCTACCATAGCAGCGAAGGCGGAAGGATGGGGAATAAGAGAGTAGCCGAAGTTCTACTTGATGTTTCTCGCCGAAACAAACCGGTAGAAGATGGTCTTGTCGTTAGTCCCACTCGGTCGTCCCCCTCCAAAGGATTTTTGACCCACGACCGCGCCAACTGCATTCCTCGTGGTAATAGACGTTGCCAGTAGTGTTGCATAGTAGAGTCAGAAGGGTTTTGTGGTCTGTGGCAAAGCTGGAGAAGAGGTTGTTAAGTACGACTCACAGAGCCGGTCAGTGCATAAGGCGAGGTGTTATCGATAAGTTCCAGAGCCTTCTCATAATTCGCGTTAAATAATACTGATGGCTGTTAGATGGGACGCGATGAGAAGTAAATGCGTTGCATAGAATTAGGGCACAGTGCACAGCTGCCATTCAGAAGGGGTGTCAGTCATAGAGTACATCGACACCAGGAGACCTCGCCTTCGCATCCTTGAACGCATCCAAAGAATAGTTGTTCGTACTTCGCGGTTTCACTGGCAGAGACGTAAGTCATAGCTTCTACATCTGGAAAAGTAGCCACCATGGAATCCATTCTGACGCCATCAATAATTTTGAAGGGCTATGGAGAATGGATTAAATATATGTCCTATTTTCCAGACGGTCAGCGAGTGATCAGCGAATCTGATGATTGTACCTCTCGGCAAGGGAACCTGAAGGCGGGCAAGGAGATTGAAGCAGCGCGGTCACGGTATGTTCAAGTTCGCGAGAGGATGGTGTGGGTAGTGGCAGTATCAAGGGATGGTCGATGGGTTGTCGCTTTTGGTGGAGATTTGGAGAGTGCCGAGCTGAAAGCCTGTGAAGTTGAAACTGGGATTGTAGGAACGTACGAAGGACATTCATGGGATCCCAGTCACGGTGGCATCATCATTGCTTTTGGCAGTATCTCAGATGGCCCAATGTTGAGTGCATTGTCACGAATGGTCACGACATGACCGTACCAAGTTCGTCACGCATCGAACTCGGACTTGGATGATAGCGGCTTACTAGTACATCAGGCATTTGACTTTTTTGCTGCAACATTCCCCATTGGCATACCCTGTCATAGCCGTGATAACCTCGAAAGGAGATTGGTGACGAAACTCGATTTGCGTATGTCCGTGATACTGGTTTTGTATACCCACTTCCTCGCAGCTGAAGCACTGACCTGGCATGACTTGCCCTCAGCCTCTATATAAACTCACAACAGCTCGAAGTAGACTCTTCCCTAAATCAGATCAGCATGGCCAATACTCCTCACGCCTCAACGGTTTCCTGGCCTCTCCACGTTTATGGTATTCAATTCCTGTCGTCAAGTAGTACCATCAACCCCACTGAATATATCCAATAGGCATCACCGTCGATTCCAGCAAGTCGAAACCGAATATAGAGTCTGTTGAAGTACGGACCAGCAAGTATTCACCAATTGAACTCGAACGCGAAGCAGGAAAGAGGTTTCGACGGACGCTTTCTAAGCCCACGTAAGTACTCGACCCCAACACATGTTCTCACCTGAGTCGCTATTGTGTTTGTTGCCGTAGGGTGCTTTCTCAAGGGGATACATTCTCTTTACATTTGCGGTGCAAGACATGGCTTGGGATGAAGACCGAGCATCAAGACATTCCTTTCAACCGAGATGTCTTGTTCCGCGTGTGTCATGCAAGACAAGGTGAAACAAGAATAACCGCATTCTCATTCTAATCACTTGCGAACTTAACCTCACATGCCTAGGATACAACAAAGTCCATAAAAAAATAAGTATCTTCGTCGACCTTTCTGAAGTAAGTATCCACGTCTTGCATCGAAATTGTATAAGTCATGGATTAGCAGACTGAGCAGTCTACCTCTTCCGCTACAGACCTTGAGCTCCGGCCTACAGCTTCTGAAATATTTCAGAAGTGTCCTCGGTGAGTCAGGATGATCATAATGTGCCGTCCTTGAGGTTGACACTCCCAAGGTTCCGAATTCTGGTGATAGGAAAGGTATTTGGCAGCTGTCTTTCTCCGATCTCGGGTCAGTTTTGACGACGTGCTTTTAAATAGCCTGGCGTCGGCAAGTCATCGCTGATCGACCACATATTTAAAATGGAAAAAATGGTGGGCCAAACGCGATGCTTCAACAAGCACAGCTATTCATACTGTCCATAGATCGTCGCCCGAGGCCAACGTCGACCATGAGTTCATCTCACTAACCTAATGACAAAGGGGAACCTACCTCTCCGCTCTCGCACATTTCTCTTCCACCATCCGTGAGTAGCCAGATGATCTATCTTCATCGTCGCTCTGATATCTGGGCGGAACAAGTATCATTTCATATTCTGAAATGCTCAGCCATATCCAGCTCACCAAAGGACTTCCCCTCATACGTCCTCCGCCCTCTTTTATGTACCGCAATCACTAATACATGTGAGGGAACGTCCCTCCTTTCATAAACAGTGTCGCCACCGTCAGGGCATCTCAATATCTCCTATGGGACTCCATCACTCCGATCCTATATAACGTCAATCACTCGCCACGGGGCCTAGACCATGCGACCCTTCAAGCTCCATCATTTGTAAGTCACTCCTACAATAATCGTCGCTTGGGAAACTTACTACCAAAACAGTCTTCAATTGACACGTACATGTGTAGTGCGACCAGCTGACTTGGAGTTCATGTGCCGTCAACATACGGCACTTCGCTCGGCCTGCCTTTTGGGTTTGCTTATTGTTACTCCAAAAACATACATTCGGCACTCCTACCAATAAACGTCAAGTCACCGAATTAATTGCATCGCTGACTGGCTCACCCTATGAGCAATTACTGCTCGCCCAATTATGTATTCGATGTCACTACTACTCCCGGAGCCCGGACCTACTTGTCATCGATACTCCACTATCGCGAGCTTATAATTATCAAGGTGGAGCATAATTTCAATGAGCTGGGCTTCCCCTCCCACCCCCAGCTCATACATTACGAATAAATGCCAGTTTTTAAATAGAATACGCGCGCTTGCGTACTTCCATGATGCGAGCCTGAGGTACATTATGACTTGAGTGATTAGAAGTGGCTCATCGGACGAATATAATAATGAAAGGGCCATCAGACGACCCCGGGCCTGGACTCGGACGTGTATCTGATCTGACCATTCGACTTGAAAAGACGTTACTCACGTACGATTGATTGTTGTTCGTGCGAATCAGCTGCAGATGAAGAATCATGAGTACGACTCGGTACAAGGATCATTCACATGACTGGGTGGTTCCAATAATATACAGAACACGTCTACTTCATGAGTCGTAATCAGGGGCATGAGCAAATGAGAATGTGATAGGACCCTGCGTTCGCAAACTTGAATGACCCGGAGGAACGTCCGAGTTGTACGTTCAAGTTAACTTGAAGGTGTTCAAGTTCGGCTGCATTGCCGACGGATTTTAGCGCGGGTCACCGGTAGTAGGAGATGCAAGTAGTAACCTTCTGGCACGCCAAAATAGAAAAAGCCAGCACCAGCCTGAGCACCAACGCTCGGAACTAAAGATCGACAATGGAATACGCCTCCGAGTCAGCATCGGGTTCAGCCCATATGATAAGTATAGTCACGGTAGTAGTCGCTACTAAGGCTAGTAGTAAAATCCTGACCGTTTCAAGTTGAAGCATCGTCCGAAAAAAGACTCCCGGGCCGACGAATGTGTGGATGCTAAAAGGTAGTGTGCCGTGCGCATTGCAGTTACGTCCATGATGGTTACACCGAGATTATGATCATGAGAAGGTTCAACAAAAGGAATGGTGACGGAGTTAGGAGCCGAGGATTGTGTGTGTGCTGTGCTGGCAGTGAGTCGGACATTCAAGTTGAACCCACTAGTCCTGCCGGTGCCACTGATCTAGAACATGTCTCCCGTGCTGGTCGGGCATTGATAGTAGTCGGAGCACGACCTTCAATTGAATACTCGCCAAGACCCAAGGATGCAGTGCGTGGATGTCGTCCGCGCCTGGCTCGTCTTGTGGCACAATTTTCCTACGTAGTAGTCTCGAAGCAGGTGTTTTAGAATGGCGTGCGTATCGATTGCTTCAAGTTCTGGCACTGAGATACATCATTCAACTTCTACTAAAGTACATAAGTCGGTTACATCGCGGTGTTCTAGAATGTACAATCTGGTCTCGAGACTATGTAGTGTCAGACTACTCAGAGCTATACGGCAACTTGTATGCCAACTTATACGTTTTGAGAGCTCCCTCACTTCCTCTTCCCATTCCGAGTGTTCGTTGATGGCCCGATATCCCGCACCTCTGATGATAGGTGAGTAGTGCGAGCAACTCCTTGGCTGTGATGAGGTTGATTTCTGGACATACCAGTCCCTTTGTGGCTATTTCGGGGGTTGCCGGCGGAGTGTCATTCCAAAAGTTGTTCAGTATATAGGATAAGCCCTACTCGCTTACATATGTTGTTCTTCTTCTCGATTTTTCATCATCTTACAACCATCTTGATGGAATTTAGTTAGTTGTACGGTTAGTTTGATAAAAAAGACTTGGTCGAAAGTGTATTTGTCGCGCCAGCCTTATCATAATGTCATAATAAGTTCATACTAGGATTAACCTCGCGTAACTGAGATATTGAAGGCGCACTATTGGATTAGCTCAAGTACACGCCGAGCGCGCCACACCTCATTCCTCCTGCTAAATTGTACGTATTCTATTTATTTTTGATTTGATTTGATTAGGATTTCTGTCACTTTGCAGGTAGGACAATACGTCCTAGTCTAACGTAAAAGGGACCCACAGTGTCCCTGTCGTACTTTCGAGTGCGCGAATGTCCTGACATGAGGCGTGGACGTATCCTTCAAACTAAGGACAAGATACTGATAGTGCGTTGCCCACTTCAGTCCATCTATCGTTGTGCCTGACATCAATCATACGGAAACATGTACGGCGGTTGATTGTCCCTGAACATATGAGCATGTATGGACGTGCACAATCTTAAACACACACCTCCGAGGATAATACATAGCCGGTACGTAGGCTCTTGCAAAAAATCTCTCAACATTTACTTAGTCATAGATCAGAAATCCTTTCCTTTTGGTGGAGCAAAAGTCGACTTACGCATGTAACCACACGTGCTGGTCGCGCATTCGGCAACGTACTGCCCTTGATATACACCTCTAGTTCGCTGAAAGATCGATGACTCGACATATCTGCCCCCCGTTGCGCACAGGCAGCATGGGTAATGAAAGTTGTGCACCTCTCGATAAAGCGCAAATCTTGAAGGGTGTATTTTATGCCCAAATTTAGTGGTCGGCCTGGAATCCAGATGAGTAGGTGTGCACAGCTATTTTTTGTACAATGACAATTAACTCACCATTGAAACGTTGCTAGTTCTCCTGTTTGTCCGTGGTAATGAAGGACACCGTGACGTGAAGTCAATATCTTCACTAACATGTTTACCACATTGGGGTTGGCTTTGAACTCCAGGAGAGTTGAACACGTAGAACATGGAGAAGAGGGTGCGGACATTACAGTCGCAAGGACAGTAGGTGGCTGGAATGCGTCTATCCCAAAATATATAGCCTCCTGCGGCTGGGTCTCATCCCTGTGCCATCGCGTGCCTGACTAAACATAGGAATGACCATGCTATCGCATTTTCCATCAGTCATCCCTGCGCCATCGCATCATTTTTTTTCGAGTCACCTCAGGCCACTCCTTGTGATCCTGACATTCCTCCATGACAGTGTCCAGTTATACCTGTATCTGCAAGCGCACATTCACGGCGCAGAACCACTTCAGCCAACACCAACATTCATGTTCTCACACCAAAAAGCGTCTTTCGTCGGCATTATCTTCTTTCAAACAGTTTATGGGCCGCAGGAAAAGGCCCCGCCTCTCAAACAATGAAGCTGGGTCTGCAGTCGATGCTTCACCCAATGTCTTATTTGATTCGCATCCCAACCAGCCGCTCGTCCATGCAGCCGACGCTTCTCCAGTCCCTCAAGGTCTCGAAGTCACGGTGTCTTCTATGCGCAATCCATCAGTTGATGCAGGAGGGCCCTCCTGTGAGGGAGGGGACATAGACGGGGCGGATATGAGTTTAGCGCAACGTAGACCGAGGCGTCAAAACCGAAAGCTACCAATGAGATTTAGGGATGTCCTTCCTCAGCCCCCACCAACTGTCCCTCCGGAAATCCGTGATCAACTTCCACAATCTATTGGCTCTGTTGTCAGCGCAGAAGACCGCCCAGCCTCAGCAATGCACACGGTGTTTTGCACCTGCCCGAATCTCTTCGGGCTAGTGCGTCAATACTTTTCCTCGAGACCACCATTACACGATCCAGAAGAATGTGTTACATTAGCAGACCTCTCAACTATTCCTGGCGCCCCTCAAGTCGATGAATTACCCCCTTCACCCCCTCCATCAATCAGCGACTCTCCATACCATCCCTATCCCAATCACTCATCCTTCCAGCTGGGTGATTGGTACTGGAACCAAGGAGTCCAAAAGTCGCAACGAGATTATACCAAGCTGGTGGGAATATTGGGCTGCAGTTCTTTCGTCCCTAGTGATGTTAGCTCTACTCATTGGAGGAACATCGACATGAAGTTGGGCGCGAACGAGTATGACGAGGGAGACAGAGAAGTGTGGGAGGACGAAGACGCTGGATGGAAAAAAACGTCAGTCTCTATCCAAGTACCTTTCCCCCGTACCACCGAAGTACCAGGTCCTCGTGTCTACCAAGCTGCTGATTTGTATCATCGGTCCCTTGTGGCCGTTCTGCGGGAGAAGCTTGCCAACCCCAGAGATAGTAAGCTCTTTCATTACGAACCGTATAAATTGCGTTGGACCCCTGCCCATCTGGACGCGGAGGTCTCCATATATGGCGACCTCTACACATCTCCGGCTTTCCACGAAGCTCATAGCAAAGTGCAAAGCTTGCCCACGGAACCCGGCTGTGATTTGCCTCGAGTAGTGGCTGGCCTCATGTTTTGGTCTGATGCCACGCAACTCACTTCCTTCGGCAATGCCAAGCTTTGGCCTACATATATGTATTTCGGTAATGAATCCAAGTATCGCCGGTGCAAGCCATCGTGTAACTTGAGCAATCACATTGCTTACTTCGAAACAGTATGTCTTACCATAATTTTGGCTTTGCAGGGTACCTAACTTCACGCTATCAGCTTCCAGATTCGTTTAAGGATTTCATAGGCGGGAAAAATAGTGATTGTGCGACGCACTGTCATCGAGAATTCTTCCACGAGCAGTGGAAGATTTTACTGGACGACGAGTTCCTGGAGGTATATGAACATGGCGTCGTGATTCACTGTTGCGACGGCGTCATGCGTAGATTCTATCCTAGAATCTTCACATACTCCGCAGACTATCCTGAAAAGTATGTATTATTCTTAAGGCAGGTTGTATTGTGCTGATTCTGGTCTGAATAGGGTACTAATAGCTACAGTACGAAACATGGGAGGTTGCCCATGCCCTCGTTGCCTTATACCCAAGGATCGCATCCATAATATGGGTTGGCCTCAGGATAGAACACAACGTGAGACTCTTGCATGCGACGATGTCGGAAGGCATTCCTTGGTGAGCGAGGCTCGCAAATTGATCTATGAAAAGGACTTGGGGGTCGGTAGCACGCGGGTGGAACAAATACTGAAACCACAGTCCTGGGTACCCACCATGGTGAGGCTGCAAGTTTCATGCTAGTAACGATGATTAACACGCCTCAGAATGCATTCTCAGATCACCTCGGCCGTTTTGGTTTCAACATTTTTTGCGCCCTCGTGGTAGATCTCTTACATGAGTTCAAAATCGGGGTTTGGAAAATGCTTTTCGTTCACCTACTACGAATCGTCGAGGCGCAAGACAAGGGACTTATCGACGAATTGGACCGGAGGTATGTTACCGGAATACACGTCACCCACTCCGCTGACCCTCCTACTGACCAGATTCAGGCAAATTCCAATGTTCGGACAAGCTACTATCCGAAAGTTTTCGGCCAACTCCTCGGAGATGAAACGGATGGCAGCTCGCAATTTCGAAGACCTACTTCAGGTAATGATTTCACCGCAATTGAAGTTAAATAAGGTCTGACACACTGCAGTGTTCTATCCCTGTTTTTGACCGTCTTCTTCCCGAACCCCACAACACGGCTGTTCTCAAGTTGCTATTCACCATGGCGCATTGGCACGGACTGGCCAAGCTTAGAATGCATTCTGATTTGACCCTTTATATCATGGACTCCGTCACTTCTGCGGTCGGTCAACAATTCCGGGAATTCAAAGCCAAAGTTTGTTCTGCGTACGACACCCGCGAACTTCGTCTGGAGGTCGAAGCTCGCGCCCGACGCCATGCGAAGCTAGCGGCAAAACAAAAGGGATCCCAGAAGGGCAAGCGAAAGCAAGGGGCAGCGGTCGAGGCAGAGAATCCTGTAAGGAATGCACGGCGAACAAAGGTATTCAACTTTCAGACCTACAAATTTCATGCATTGGGCGATTATGTGTCGACAATTCGCCGGTATGGCACGTCCGATTCCTACAGTACCGAACCGGTACGTGGTCTATCATTCATGTCTAGACTTCGCTGACCGACTGACTGACGAACCTCCCCAGGGTGAACTCGAACACCGTTCACCCAAGGCCAGATATCGTCGCACGGATCGCAAGTCCTTCGTGAGGCAGCTCACTCGGATCGAACACCGTCAAGCTCGCATTCGTCGTATAGGGTGTTACAATAACATGTAACCGAGAACCCCTCCTATGGAGGTCACCATGACCTTAGCCCCTATCCCGCCTATACACCGTCATTGGAAGACTTACCGACTCAACAGAGACTCGTAGAGATGCCTAGAACGGCCTGGATGCCGTTAGATGACCTAGACCAGCCTAGGCAACATCTGGACGGACCTAGATGGTCCTCAACCCGGATCATGAAAGAAGCTCTGCTTCATGGTCAGAAGAGAAGCCGCATGCCGCAGCATGCGCAGTTAGACTCCAAGGCATGCTTCGCCTTGAGGACAGATAGAAGAGGCATGGTAAGCCTCATGGATAGATAATCGCCCGCATGGCATCAGATAAGATGCCCTTGTATAGACACACTCATACTTACCTACCATACGAAGTATTGGTCTGTGCACACGGACGACAGTATATAGAGCAGACAGAATCATGTATATTCCCTACTTGATTCTACTAGGTTTTCATCAGAACTTCCTCTGTGTGATCATCCCAATCACTCAGTCTAAGCCGCACCTAAAGGAAAGCCGACACTACCTTTAGTGGAACCCCCAAACCTCTCATTCGAGAGAAGATCCCCGTCTCTCCAGTAGCGAGCCCACTATCAGATTAGGCAATCCGCCTAGGGAGAGCTCGAACTATCCTAGTCCGTAACAAAAGAATCAAGTAGTACTTTCCCGGCCCTGCTCATCACGCACCGCCGTTGAAACCGATACCGACCGCACCGCTGAGACAAGCGTAGACCTCTACTCTCGTGACCAAACCGCCGAGACCGGCGTAAAGCTATCCACAAATTGTCAAGACAGACGTACGAAGCTTTGAATCCTTAAACCTATCACTGTCCCTTCGCACTACTCCCTCTACCATGAACGCACCGACACAGAGCATGATGATTAGAAGAAATACCGACGCCGCTGCCAACCTTTCAGGAATGGAGACAAGACACCACCTGAAGCAACGACGATGCTTTTCTTGCCATCACGTTGGACATAAAGCCAACGACCATAAGTGCCCGATGAGGAGAAAGATTATCGAAGAAGAAACAGTCCGCAAGACAGCGGCTGGTAAGGAGAAGACTGGACCACTGATAATTAACAAAAACAGCATATCCAAGAAGAAAGAATTACGGGTTGCCGCCACCGTAATATCAACCACTAAGCCGCCCATCACGACCACCATGGTCATAGACTCCGGCGCATGCGATTCATTTATAAGTAGAGAACTCTGCAAGAAATATCGCATTAGAACGCACCTCCTTCAAACGCCAAAACGAGTAATGAACAGAGACGGAACGATAGTCGATGGAGGCAAAGTCAAGAGATTTTGCCAACTCCTCATAAAGATCAACGACCGAGTGATGCACGGACGATTCCTCGTAATCCCGCGCTTGGACGACATCCTACTCGGATTCACATGGCTGGCCGCTGTGAAGCCTTCCATAGATTGGAAGAAGGGTACGGTAACTATCCCTGCCACTGACAAGTCAAAAGGACTTGAGAGAATGATTGAGAGAGGTAGGAAGAGGAACGGGTTGAAGCCGCCCTTCCGTAGAGAAAAGAGGACGCGAAACACGCGCCAAAGAAGGGAGGTAGGCACCCTGACGAAGAAGACAGAAGAACTCCGAGATGAGTATAAACTAGATCCGACAGAAGCACCTGTCACGCAGAACCTCCGAAATGAGGCTAAACTACCTGAACCGGCTGATTCGCCGATGGAAGATCTCCGAAATGAGTCGAAACTAACTTCGGGAAGACGGAGATTCAATCCGACACTAAACCCGATCGAGGAACTCCACGAAATCCTCGAATACGCACCGGCTACCAAGCCGTTGGAACCCTACGCCTCGACATCCCAGAACGTCGAGAAGAAGTCCACGAGACAGTCGGACTTAGTTGCCACCTCACCACCCACAGATAAATATAGATTTTCTGCAGTACCTGCCCAGATCTTAGGAAAAGGCAGAGCCACTTTCGACGAGGAACCACCTCGTACAAAGATCCCTAGACCGGCCCCTGAACCGGAGAAAACTCAGAAGTACATCTTTTCAGCAGAACCTGCTTCCGTTCTCGGAAAAGGTAGATCGGTAGTCATGGCAGAAACGCTGTCACCGAAGAAACTCCGCCAAGAGTATAAACTAGCAGAAGAAGAACTGGCCGCTGATCAATGGATCAACCGGGCCGAGCCGATCGTTTCATTTCCAGAAAGATCGAGAACCGCACCAGTCACTCGCCCATTCCTCGTGCCCACACAAGCCGATATAGAAATGATGACGACTGATGATGAAGATAACAACGAGATAGTTGTTAATACCAACCCCGCAGCCCCTGCCATAGCAGAAGAACCCGCGATGACTCCGATGGAAGTAGATCGGATTAAACAACAGAACTACTTTCAGCGAACGATAAAGCGTATCGCAAGCCACTGTCCCCACCAGGACGACCCTGTGGATGTTAGATTATTCCAGGGAGAGATCGCACCAGTCACGGATCAGCCCGACCCTGACTGCGGAAACCCTGATTTAGACTTTTAGATTTGATCGGTGATCAAACGGCCTACTTGGGGGGTGAAATTCTCATTTAAAACTCAATTCACTCTTAATTCCCCTCACCCCGGCCACACCCTTATCTATAAATATCGACAATCGCCAAGAGTCCGGCACGACTATAAACTGCGCAGAAGTCCGAAATGACTCGAAACTATCCTCGGTCCGCAAAGACCTTAAACTATCCTAAGTCCATCATGACTCTAAAACTGAGAAAACATCCGAAAAGACGCTTAAAAGAAGAAGGACGAACCCGGAGATGCGGACCCCTTCACCCTGAAGACGAGACTAATACACCGAGAAACTCCTGCAAGCCCCGGATGCCTTACCTTCACCTCTGTCCGGAAAGACGCTAAACTATCACGAGACGAACTCCTTGGAAACTCCTGCAAGCCCATGGAACCCTCTAGAACGCTGATCGAGAAAATCAACAAAAAGAACATCTCGAAAACGACATACCCCAGATCTTGACAGAATTCGACTAAAACGAAAGATCAAGACACGCACGTCCGCAATGACGCAAAACTTCCGCTTCTGATAGTCCGAAATGACTCGAAACTATCCTTCGAATGCACTGGCATGGTGACTTCCCCCTCTGCCAAGAGAACCATGAGGCACTCCACACCTTCATGATTGAACCTTGATAATAGAGATCATAAAGATAAGTTAGCACTGATCAAGCGGAGCTTAGAGCACTCTTGGAGGCCCATATAAACCCTCTACAACGATATACTCGCCAGAAACTCTCGCAACAATCATGCCTAACAACATCGAAGCCTCCGTCATCGTTCCCCTAAAGAACTCGGGATTTTCCAAAATCCTCGACCACCTCGAGAAAGGCGCCGTCGCCGAAACGGCCATTCTCTCCCCAGATCACTTCCTAGAGATCAGCGACATCCTAGGACAGTCAGATGTCAACTTCGCCGCCTCTGCATCATTGGTGATAGACATCATCCGCACCACGCGACACCTAGAAATATCGGTGAACTGTGAAGACTTAGACCCAGCAACTAGAGCCCTCATAGTGCTGGAAGACCAGAAAAAGATTCGAGCCATGGCGCTCCACTTACTCCCCGACAACTTCAGCGAACTCGTAGACATCGCGAAGAAACGCGTAGGAGAAAGATTAGAAAGACCCCCGCGCCCTACCAAGAAAGCGCGAGTAGACCGCACCTGCATCTGTCGACGATGCGGAGGATACGGACACAATTTTAGAAAGTGTCCAGACGCTGTGTGCTGCATCTGCAGCGAAATCGGACCCGACCACCTGTCGGTCCATTGCCCTCAACTCGGAGAAGAATCACCCCTTCCAGAGTTTTGAGACGACGAGGAATACTACGAACTCCTCGTAGATTGGGAGAAGAACCACATTGCGCTAGAAGAACTAATCGCAAAGAACCCCGCACCGCGGTCACCCACTCCCATCGATACCCGCAGTACTACTGCCACTCCAGACGAAGAAACCCGGGAGAGAGTTTTGTCGTAGTCGGAGACTTCGACCCAGAAACGGAGGTAATGTTACAATAACATGTAACTGAGAACCCCTCCTACGGAGGTCACCATGACCTTAGCCCCTATCCCGCCTATACACCGTCATTGGAAGACTTACCGACTCAACAGAGACTCGTAGAGATGCCTAGAACGGCCTGGATGCCGTTAGATGACCTAGACCAGCCTAGGCAACATCTGGACGGACCTAGATGGTCCTCAACCCGGATCATGAAAGAAGCTCTGCTTCATGGTCAGAAGAGAAGCCGCATGCCGCAGCATGCGCAGTTAGACTCCAAGGCATGCTTCGCCTTGAGGACAGATAGAAGAGGCATGGTAAGCCTCATGGATAGATAATCGCCCGCATGGCATCAGATAAGATGCCCTTGTATAGACACACTCATACTTACCTACCATACGAAGTATTGGTCTGTGCACACGGACGACAGTATATAGAGCAGACAGAATCATGTATATTCCCTACTTGATTCTACTAGGTTTTCATCAGAACTTCCTCTGTGTGATCATCCCAATCACTCAGTCTAAGCCGCACCTAAAGGAAAGCCGACACTACCTTTAGTGGAACCCCCAAACCTCTCATTCGAGAGAAGATCCCCGTCTCTCCAGTAGCGAGCCCACTATCAGATTAGGCAATCCGCCTAGGGAGAGCTCGAACTATCCTAGTCCGTAACATAGGGGACAAAATTGTTCATCGCCCCCACATCGAACTTGCCGAGATAGCGACAAGCCCGTACGTCCACCATCACATTGGCCTGACGCAGAAGTACCCTATCCATATAGGCTCGTACTTACGCAGCCATGAAGGCAATCCGGCAATCAAGGTCATTTAAATGTATTTCCGCAACCGACTCGTCTCACATGCTCCTGCAGAATTTCGTGCTGAGACTCAAGGAACATTTAGTCCGTCGAATCAACACGTCAAAAAATCTGTCGGAGTCGGGAGAAGATCACACTCTCAACACACTCATTATCAAGGACGATCGCATCTATCGCCACAACATCGCAAGGATTAACTACACCACATACGATGTTCGTTGTGCGCAAGATGTAATCAACCCACGAACTGAACACTGTAATATTATGGTGCTACGCCCCGACAACGATGTGGAGCACGCAAGTCACAAGTTCACCTATGGTAAGGTCCTGGGTATTTATCATGTGAATGTAATCATTATTGGAGTCGGAATGGTCGACTACACTCCACGCAGAATGGAATTCCTGTGGATCCGATGGTACGAGCCCACGGATCAGGTCTCCGACTGGGACACCTTGAGCTTAGATCGAGTCAGATTTCCGCCTATGGCGGACGAGTACTCATTCGATTTCTTGGATCCAGCGCTTGTCCTCAGAGGCTGCCACATCGTACCTGCTTTCGCCAGCCTCAGGAGATACCAAAATGGATTGGGGGTGTCAGCATGTGCAAGGGACAAGGATGATTGGCGGGAATACTATGTCAATCGGTGAGTGAGGGTCTGTTTCACATATAAGTTATATGGAGCTCATCATTTTAGATTCGTGGACCGCAATATGCTGATGCGCTTCCACTTTGGTCTTGGAGTTGGACACATTTACTCTCACCACCCCACTTCACAGGATGTGCCTGTGCCTGGAGGCAGTGCAGAACAAGATGATGGGCAGGTCGTTGACGATTATAATGAAGACGAGGGCCAGGAAGACGATTCTTCAGATGAAGAGGAAGGTGGAGATCTCAGGACGCAAAACGTTCTACAGGGGTCAGATTCCAGTAGCGAGTCGCTGATATCTCAATTTAATGAGATGTACGGTAGTGATGTAGAACTAGACTACGAGAACTGATTCGGGATATTTAGGAATGCTGTTCCACCCACGTAATGAGATCCAAGAGGCCGTTGCAGAGATAGACGGTGTTTGTAGCGCTGGGATGGCGCCAGAATTATATGACTGATCAAAAATACAGTTCAGAACGTATACGTACATATAATCTGTCGCCGTCAGCCCAATACCACTTGATATCCGGCGTATACCTTAAAGGAGCCACATACATGTAATATGCTCAAGGCGCTGTGATGGCCTGTCTCTCAAGCGAGGTATGTACATGTAATATGCACATCTGACTTTAACTTAAGTGTCCTAGGCCCTGTGACTTCTTCGATGGCGCTGCGATGGCCTGTTGCAGGTCGAAAATAATCAAAACTCAAATCAGACGTGCAAATTGCTTTAAATAATCTTTGCATAGACTTTACATTCCAGTTCCTCAGTCACAGTGATGATGTTGGTCGACTCCGTACCGAGCGTCGATGACAATGCTTGTATTTACGGTATCCATCCTCCCAGCTTGCAATATTTCGCTGTCAGTTGTCTTCTTTGTTGTAAACCTGAAATACCTTGCTCACACTGGATCCTTCAGGGTACGCCCGCCGTTTGCGTGTCATTTGTGGGGTATCTGTGGATAGGCATGCAGCCCATGCTTTATCCTCTCTATGTAAGCATGCAACTTGTATCTCTTTTTATCCTGGGTATCTTATGATGAGCTTAGTGTCCGCCTGCCAGTCTGGATGATGTAAGACATTTTATTTTACGTGTGCTACATGATATACTGACCTTCTCCTCCCAGCTCAAACTAAAACTGTCACTATTTGCTTATTTGCATGCTCCTATGAGTCATGGCACGCCATATGAGCGAGAGGGCAAGGAAGTCCCTGTATTTGTCTTAGCTGTAGGTTCAATCTCGACTGTGCCACGCCTTCCTACTGATTGGTTGTGTGTAGCTGCCTGAAATCATGCCGTTTCTCAATTTGCCATGGTTACGGGAAAATTTTCCTCCAACAGCGCCATATACGGTGTGTACGATCATGTATGTCCACCTTATGATTGTATCGTTTCTTGTACTACAATGTCACGGTCGCAGGTTGGGGTGGCTCGCGAACACGAGCCTGAAACTCTGATTCATTTCGCGCAGTATCCTTACGGGTACTACCTCCCCAGTGATCAGTCGGTCAACGGCTCTGAATCAATTCTCCAGACTACATGGGTAGGTTCGTCAGCCATGTCATCAGTGACCGGAACCAGGTCTCTTCCCTGTACCAAGAAAGAGACAGCCAGACACAGTCTCCAAAGAATCATGACGACCTGTCCCAACTGGCGAAGGGGTCTCGCATACCTACGCATCCTCATGAGGGTTCATGTGTGTTGTGGACACTCCGACAACCCACATATTCTCGTAACTGCGGATTATGCTGACCGTAGACGCGAGTTACTCAGAGTCTGCTGGCCTCAAGCCCTCATTCGGGCAGATGTCGCGTCTGAGAATTTAGAAACAGGTCGGGTGCTTAATCCTACATACCATCACATGCTGAATCCTCTATAGTCCTCACCAAAGACACCCAGGTTCCGATGTCAGAGTCCGCAATATTGGCGCTCGTACGTGTCTTGCTTATCTTATTTTGATTTCTCTTATTCCATAATAGGCTCTTCCGTGGATGAGCCAGTTCATGTATGACAATAGAAGAGTAGCTATCCGCTCCATGGACGACAGTCGCATCTTTGGCTTAGGCAACTTCTTTGGGTTAGCTCAAAGACACTGCATTGTGGACTTGCTGCAAATGTTCATACGCCCTTACGCTCATTCGTTACCACTCAGCGTAAGTTCTATGAATTCACTCTTATTATGACAGATGACCTACCTCGTCCAACAGGTCAATTCCTTTGTGAAATTTCTGGAGAACCAGATGGCGAAGGAATTAGTATATCACGTTATATTTCGAACCACGGCCACATGCCGCGTTCGTCTCACCATCGCTGATTTCGAGCCACAAATCTTCAGGAATGCTACAAATCCGCCGGTTGACACACTGGCGTTGATAGGGTCATGCGTAAGTGCCTTCTACTTTCTAGATGCTTCATTCACGTTTGTTTTCACACTAGTGTTATCAAGCGCTGCTGGCAAGACTCGTAGCCATTTGGGGCACAATTGACCTCATGCCAGACTATCCATCTGCGAGCCAAGTCCATACAGAACTTCGCGACACAGCCATCTTGCTGATCCTGCAGGTTGAGGACCCGCAGTACGTGCCCTTCATGGGCAAACTAGGAGAGTTGTGCACAATCATGTGAGTTTTTTCAGGATGGGATCTTACTATGTAATGCTGACTCGGAGATGCAGTGAGGCCAATGTGTACCGCATTGGCCGGTGAAATGGAGCGACCCATCCTTGACCCAGTAATTGTGTCCAATATTGTACAATTTGTATCTGCAATGAGCCCATGGTCTGAAATGTACTTTGTTCTCCGTCAGACTGTAGACCTTTGATAACGTGACAGTCGTGTACAATTCTTCGAAACAATCTTTAATACTTGCGGACGGAACTAGTCAACAATTACTTGTATGTGAAGTCACTGTTATTTCATTCATGACTTCTAATCTATTTTTGTATTTAGAATTTGATGGCCATCGTCTCCGTATCATGACTCTGATATTGCCATCCAGTGTTATAAGTTATGTGAGCATACTCCTTCCTCTTACTACCCTCTAACATGATGTATTTAGAGTTTGATGGCCATCGTGTCGTTTGATGGCCAACGTGTCGTGACACAGACATCGCCTTCCTAGCTAGTGTTATAGGTTGTGTAAGCACTCAGCGATCGCGAGAGTATTCCTCAGCCTTCCTCTTGCTACCCTCTAACTTCGACATGTTAAATATCAGCTCCCCTTTTCTTTCTACATATGACACATCTTCAAAGACTCATTTTCTTGGAACTGAGCAGACCGAGACAGCTCTCATATCTTGGCTTCAGAAACAGGACCGCAACACTGTGAGAGTGCTCACATTTCTTGATATTGTCTTCTAACTTCATTTTCAGCTTCCAGCTTCTCTCTATATCACAGCTTCGGTGCTCTTTGGATGGGTCGATACCCACGATCTTATAGCTCTCATGGACGTGAGCCTCAGGGAGGTTGCCATGCAGACGTAACTTCAGCAAGAAGAGGAGAGGAGCTGTG